TTGATGACTGTTAGCCCCTGTTGTTGACTGTCAGCGCCTATTGATGGCCGTCAGCTCCTGTTGATGACTGTTAGCCCCTGTTAATGACTGTTAGCCCCTGTTAATGACTGTTAGCTCCTGTTGATGACTGTTAGCCCCTGTTAATGACTGTTAGCTCCTGTTGATGACTGTTAGCCCCTGTTGTTGACTGTCAGCGCCTATTGATGACCGTCAGCTTATGTTGATGACTGTTAGCCCCTGTTAATGACTGTTAGCCCCTGTTAATGACTGTTAGCCCTTGTTAATGACTGTTAGCTCCTGTTGATGACTGTTAGCCCCTGTTAATGACTGTCAGCTCCTATTGATGACCGTCAGCTCCTGTAGATGACTGTTAGCCACTGTTAATGACTGTTAGCTCCTGTTGATGACTGTTAGCCCCTGTTGTTGACTGTCAGCTCCTATTGATGACCGTCAGCTCCTGTTGATGACTGTTAGCCCCTGTTAATGACTGTTAGCTCCTGTTGATGACCGTTAGCTCCTGTTAATGACTGTTAACTCTTGTTAATGACTGTTAGTAATACTTTATTTGAAGTGGCTGTTCGTCGCAGGACACGGACGCTTGGTGAATAAACTCTCATACAGTCTGAGAATGTAGTTAAACTGTTTATCAGAGGGAAAGTATGATTTTAGGACACTGGAGCCTGATATTAGTTTGCCATGATGTTAGCTTACAACAAGCTGTTGTTTAGCTATCTGGAGACAGCAGGTCTAAACTGCTGAAAATAATTATCTGTGACAATATCGGGAATAAATAAGCATGTTTATGCACATTTTCAAGAGTTAGAGCCCTGACTTCAGTTCAGGAGATGAAGCTGGAGGTCAGGAGGAAGAAGATGAGTGTTTGTTAAGATGGCGGTGGCGTTGTCTCTTTCTTTATCTTTGGTGAAGAGGCCCTGTTCACTGAAGAGAAAACATTGGTATCAGCCTTCATATTTTGAGTCAGAACACATGAGAAGTCCTATGACTTCTTCCCTCGTCTGCCTACATATGCAGCTGTCTGTAGCCACATGTTTAACACACCGTTAGTCGGACGCACGCTCCTCTGTTGTTTTAATACTTTAATTATACGTTTATAAGAATGCTTCAGGTGGTTGGAAGACATAATTACCCACTAATGTACATGTATTTCTGAGTACAGTATCCTTTTCACCTGTTTGCAATATTAGGGGCGTGGCCTCTTTGACTGACAGGTGGATGGTGACACAGGCAACTGTAGCTTCTAACTGTCTGTTAGCTTCACCTGATCTGGACCCAATGACTGTAGAAAACATGGACAACGTGACAGCACCTCCTCCCATTCTACAAAAATGAAGCCAAAATATCCCGCCTCTGGAAGCTGCCATCTTGCCAGAGTCTGCGCAGTAGGGACTTAAGGTGGAGCGACTGTGTTACGCTCCCGCCGACACACCTGCTGGACGTGACCGCAAACACGCCCCCTACACTTTTTACGTAGCCCGGCTGCTCCAGTTTATTTGCTCATGGGTTTACCGCGACTGACGACTTGTTTAATTAAGGTAAATACAACCATGTCACTGTTATGAAAAAGACACATAGATTAGCAAGGCGCTAGATTAGCCGCTAGAATACGCAATGTGTTTGAGGCTTGTTGTTAGCTAGTTAGCGATGCTACACATCCGTTACTCTAATAGTCTGTATTATTGAATGATTCAGCACTGCTTAGGTTTTGTTATCCATTTTTAGACAGTGATGAGATCATCTGCACACTCTACAGAAGCCCAGAGTTACTGTTAATATCAAAAATATAATGCTGTCCTTTGAGATTTTAACATAAAACTGTGAGTGTAATGGATCTAAAACTGTTTAAATCTTCAGAGCCATCTACTACGGTGGCCCCTAGAGACAAAGCACGTACAAACTCCAAAACACATGCAAACTCCAAAACACATGCAAATTCCAAAACACTTGCAAAATCCAAAACACTTGCAAA